GGGGGGCTCCGAAAATTTGTATACTTCAAAACCAACACATGACATCATCATACAGATCGGATGGTTTTCAACTCAACAATTTAATGACCTGTGCAACTCAGCTATATCACGTGGTTTACAGATATAACAAATGTAGTCTCAGTAATTATTACACTCTTGTTCATCCCAAAAATGCTTTAGAAAATTGTATCACAACTGTATCTCAAGTTTGTCATAGTATAAACCATTGAAGACAATAACGGTAAATATATTTAATACAGTCTAGCGATCTTTTTTCAGGGGAGCAAAGGAATTGAAGGAGGGGGGGGCTCTGAAATTTTTTCGACTACCAAGGAGGGGGCTCCTAAAAAATTGAACTGCTAGCGGGGGGGGCTGATAAAATTTTAAGCTTCGAGTTTCAATATCTTCATCCCCTCTCTTGTCATATTAAATGAACTTTCCCTTACTAGCCAATGTTTTTATGTGCAGCATCGAAGAAACTCTTAAGCACAAAGGCAAGATGTCTACATATTACAGATTATATGTTGATGACAAATTAAGGATCATGCGTGACAAAGTATCAGCTGATAACTTCCTTCAGACCCTTGACCATTGCCATTCCTCTGTTACGTTTACCAAGGAAACAGAAAAAAATGGCATGCTTCTGTTTCTCAACACACAATTGTTGAACAAATCTACACACACTGAGACAATCGTTTATGTGAAACCAACAAACTCTGGCCTCTTGTTGCAATACAAGAGTCATGTCGATGATCAATATAAATATGGCCTGTTAAAGACTATGCTTGATCACGCATTTCGACTTTCTTCTAACTCGTCCTATTTCTCTGAGGAATGTGATCACCTCAAACTTTTATTCTCTACACTAAAATACCCAGAAAAACTTATTGATTCTACAATCACTTGATTTATTGCTTTGAAAGTATCTGATCAACCCGTTTCCTCACCGACTGATACCAATGGATAGGACCCCGTTCCAACTGTTCTTCCATTTAAAGACCAAGCCACAGCTTATATTCTTCAGAATCAACTTACGGATTGGAATCAGAAGGTTCACACGAACACCTAGCCTGTCTTTGTGAGTCACAAGATTGAACAAGACCTAAAACTGTGCAAAGTCCAGCCACCGATTGTAGACCAAAAATGCCTAGTATTTAAGGTATTAGAACTGCTATAAAGTCGAAAAATGATCATGCTTATAAAATCGCTTATTTGAAATGTACTCTTAACCTGAACTCAAATTCAAAAATGAAGCATTTTCGTTAAATAAAAGCCGAGAAAACGAAGGCAAAAGTTGGTATCTAAGAACGCCTTTTTGGAATATTTAAAGTCACAGGACCGAAATCCGACGCGATACTTCCTGCTGTTGACAGAAATGTTGCCATTTACGCTTTTATTCTGCTTCCCCAAAATGAAGTACAATTGTTTTGACATTTCTAAATCGTTTCTATGGCTGTAAAAAGCCTTCTAGAGACGCATCAGATATATGATCCTTGCAAGGTCGATAACAGATAAGGCCGCAGTTTTATGATCTATTATGCAAATTAGCACGTTGCTAAGGCTAAAACATTGTTTATAATGCCATATTGACAGCATGTCACGCAACAAATTCAACGAAGATTTTCAAATTTTCTCTCCATTTTTCGTGCTACAATCGGGTCAGTGTCACAACAAATATTAAGAACAGCGGTTAACTTATAAGAATTAAAGATGGTGACGAAGAAAGCAGCGCAACGAAAATTAAAGGCAAATTAAGGACAATTTGGCGGCTGTGTCGCACCGCACTGAAAACAGATCGATGTAAAAAGATGAGGATTTATAATACGGCTCTGAAACTTGCCAGGTTTATTCACATAATCAGTGTGCAAAGAAAGTCGTGTAGCCAGTCAATAGCCCGCGGTTAGTGGACTTTGATATCGGACTAGTGATTCTTGTTCTTAACTTGCCCAATGGGCAAGTGCTGCTCTTTGGGGAAATTCAAATAATAGAAGGATTGTAATCAATACTACTAATCAAAAAGGGTTTTGGGGCTAGTTGAAATGACTTGTGGGCCAGTACATGCTAGCTACAGCTTGCGCGAATGGCAGGCTGTAAAACTGACTTTCTTTGCAGCCTGGTAATGTTAAGGAAAAATGTTTTAAATTCGCTGCAATTCCCAGAATGTTTTGGAATTTTGGCAGCGACCTGAAGTTACAGGGCATTACAAAAAAAATCCACCTCTATGTCTCAGGAAATGTTTACTGGCTACTGCCGGGAATTTAAAGATAAATGAACAAACTAAGTACAAGTTGGTTCCATTTTTTTTTTATTCCGAGCAACTGAGAGAAAGCCAGAAATACGGAATTATTGAATTTTTGAGCCCGTGATATAAATTGGAAATAACACCTAAGGTGTGAAAATTGACACCTCGGATATCAATTTTCTGAAAGCTCCGCTCTCGCTTGATAGGCCTGTGTAATTTTTACTTTGCAAAATTCTTAATCATTTGAGAAATAAATTTTTCAAATGAAGGGTTTATAGTGCGATGGACCTGTGCGTGTAGGTTATGTTGGTCTAACATGCGCGCACTTAAACCAACGTGTTGATGAACATAAAGGCCCATTTTCTTCAAATGGCGAAGATTTCCAAGAGAAACATCTTTTGATTCCAAAGGATCTTAGCCAGAATTTCTCTGTTTTAAAGAAATGTACAAACAAGTTTGACTGCCTCGTCTATAAAATGTTGTTTATTAATAAACGTAAACCAAGTCTCAATGTACAATCGGACTCAATATTTGCTAATGTTTTCAAATAGTTTTTAACAACTATTAGTTTTTTCTCATTGTTCTTTAACTCCCATATTTGCTACTTTTTACATATTTTTATTCCATTGTTTTTCTCCCTTTATACATATACATGTTAATTTTTATTCTTATACTACTTGAAAATGACCAAAGCACAGTTGAAATGTCGTGAAAGACTTTTACTGTTTATTTTTACCATAAGTTATTTAGGCAATGAACATATGATACTTTTTCAGAACATTTAATTCAGTCTCTTTCAAAAGAGCCTGTGTGTTAGAAGTGCATTTGTGGATTTCAAGCTTGTAAATTTTATTAGCCTATTCACATGCAGCTCCTTAGATATAGTATTCCATGCCAGTCAGTTTACACATATGCTGTGAGCTGAGCCCCTTCAAATCAAAAAGCAAATCATTTCTTTTTAAGTGTGCTTTTCAATTGTAATTCATATTCAGTTAACAATTAATTATTAGTAACTATTAACTATTAGTACTGTAAAGCGTTTTGGATCACTGAGAGGAAGGTGCCAAGTAACTATATATTATTATTACTAGTGATAACCAAAGGTTCCAGAGTGCGGGCGACAATAGTCGAAGGTCCAAACACTTTTTCTGGGGGGCTGTGTTTTGCGCAAGTTTCACTTAACATATGGTGAAAACATGTGATCATACTACGAGGTCCAAACTGCCAGTTCTAAACCCGCGTGATCAAAGTGCATTCTGTGCATTCCAATCATTCTTAGTGGAAGTCCAAACAAATGCTGGCTACATACAGTACCACTCAAAAGTAAGTAACCACCCTCTCACGAGACGAGAATTGCACTGCGCACCACGCAATTCCTGTGCCACAACATGATTCTTATAGCGCACAATGGCCTAAAACTTTAAGTACATTCATATCATGACTAAAATTCTAGAGTGATTTCAAGAACCGATGGTGAAGCTTTACCGTGACTAACACGCAAACAAATTTTTGCCTCTGCAGCCTTTAAGACCGTTGCGTATTTCTGTATTGCGTAATTCTGTATTTACATGAAACATGTTTTTAATAAGAGAAATTAATGTCAAATTTCACAACACTTCATCTTGCACATCATTTTTTTAGAATTTTACCTGTTTTCACAATTATTGTGAAATTTGAGATTTATTTTCTCGGACTCCGATGAGAAATTTTCTTTGGTGTTACTATAGATGACTTACTACATCTTTAGCCCTTGAAAAATGTAAAAAAGAATGCAATATTCTTTAAATTATTCTGGCACAAGGTATTTGTCCACTGAAAGTTAAAATTAATCAATTTCCTGGTGGATTCCGTCTTAGCACTGCTGCCATAAATCAATATCTTCATTGTGGCAGCCTTTATGTCACTTCCATTTGTTACACCTTTAAAAATATTTCTCTCACAGGAAACAGCAAAAGTTAAACACAGAAAATGCCGCTGATGAAAAAGATACATATATACAATGACAGCAATCACATAGCATTTAGTACTTAAATACCCTCATCACTTTCAATAAATCTAGTGAAACAGACCATCTGTGGTCATTCTTTCTCCATAATCCACACAAAGAAAACGTCCTCTTTCTTCATGAGCAAAATGAAATGCCTTGAATGTTTTCTTTTGACACTCTTAAAAAACAGTGTTTTATTCTAAGTGGATTTTGTGGTCATGCTATTAAATGTTACGCACCTCAGATGCAAATTTCTTGTATTTATGATTTTATCGAAATGTAATCTCTTTTATATTTTGTTATAGTTTGGAAATTACATTATCAGCACAGTTCCAGGGCAAGATATGAGGAAAATTACCGTAAAATTCCGAAAATAAGCCCGTCCACGTATAAGCCCCTCCAAATATAAGCCCCCCAAACTCGTAACGCAAAAAAGCCTCCGTTAAATCGCACCTCCATATATAAGCCTCCCGGGGGCTTGTACTTGGAAAATTGCCCTCAAATGCAAAGGAAAACAAAGCAAAAACGGTAAATTTCCCTCCAACTATAAGGCTAGCCCAATCGATTTTGGAACGCAAATTTCCCTCCATGGATAAGCCCCTCTGATTATGAGTCCCTCCAAAAATAAGCCCCTCTAAAAGGGCCTCTGAAAAATATAAGCCCCGGGGCTTATTTTCGGAATTTTACAGCAATTGCCTTAAATGTTTTCTCCTGACTTTCTTAAAAGACAGCTTTTTATTCCAAACTGATTTCTGGTCACGCTATGAAATGTCTAGCCTGCAAGCAAGTTCTCCAATTTTGGGCGAGCAAAGCGAACGTGCAAGCAAGCGGCACAGCAGCTGAGGAAAGGAGAGCTTGCAACAATCTCTCATAAATTTTCATTTTTACTTCGCCCAGACGAAGGGAAATACCATCGGCTGAAAAATTATGTTCCGGAAATCAAAGTTGATTGATAGCAGGCCTGGCTGGCATCCTCTAAATTTAAACAGAAAATGTAGAAACACTATGCTCTTATCGCAAAAACCACTGAACTCACTCCAAAAAAAAAGACCGGTAGAGGAAGAAAATCACTTCTCCTTCTGTGAGAAAACTGTCGTCTGTGTCAAATTTGGTTATCACGCAGGGGGATGAGATTGGAATCGAGAACTTGTTTCAGCCCTCAAAGCAGACGGGCTTGTTTTAGGTAATCATGGCAAAGCTACATGTGAAAGTGTTGGACTGCTAATAGCATATTACAAGCCGAGGACAAGTCTTACTGATTTTGTAGTTCTTGTGGACGAAAAATCACAACCCCTCATCAGTTGCCGTCGTTTCTGTCAAGCTCCTCGTTTAGTTCTGAAAACAAGAGTGAGAGATTCAAGCGCCCAGTTCAAACGCTGCCTTTCAACATCGGCTTCTTCACCCCAATGAATTCCACCGGAAAGAAAAATTCAGAAACATGTACATGACAGTGTAGCTGTGTAGCTTGACAATCAAGGAAGCAACTGGATTAAAACATCAAAAAACCAAGTCCAGGAAAACGCTGTTCTCCAGTTCCTGAACGGATAAGTGTCTGAAATATATAATGTTGGTGATTGTGACAGGGAGCTTAGTCTTCTAAATGTGGATGACTTTTCAAATGTAAAAAAAACAAAAATCAAAGAATTGAGTTCTTATCCGAACGGACACAATGAAGTTCGATGTCCCGTGGATTAAAAAAAACTATCAGTGGTCAAAAACATTGCTTTGATACAGTGGAAAGCAGTTAAAACAGCAATGCAATAAATAAATAAATTCTATGCACCATCGGCTATCTAAGCTTGACAGACAGTTGTAACCTTCTAATCTGCACATTTGCAGT